CAAATAATCGAGATTATGATTGTTGCCATAATCGAGCAGCCCTAACTGTGGGACCAGCCTAGATAGGAGTCATAACGGGAAAGAGAGGCCAAAGGGTCCGGTGAGTGACAGGGCTGCGGAGAGGGATCCATTACTCAGACCAGCCTTCCTGGGTTGCATTTCATAGCCTCACCGGTACCTGTAGCAACGTCCGGTTTAGCACTATGTTGTTAACCTTTACAATCTGTAGTATTTAGGACATCACATCCTCTGTTAACAGTGTCTGGCTCACAGGAAGCTGCAGGAGTGTTGTGCAACGTGTGCATGTGTCACTTATATAGAGAAAGACAGGTTTACCGTGCAGGATGACTCGTTATCTTACACATCAATCAAATGTCTGAAAGTTACCAATGATATCAACTAGAAAGTCAATTGGACATTGCAGATGTTTTTTGAGATGATGCTCGATGTGTGTTCATGAACTTTAAGTAGTAATGTGGAATAGGTACAACAAAACCCTAATGTTTTAGCCTAATGTGGCGTCAACTCAAGCTGTTTTTTCATTTCTTGTGCGTCTTAATTCGCACCCACAAGATCCTACTGGCTTAGACATTTCAGTATACTGTATAGATCCAGTGAAAGTAGCTTCAAAGTGATCAATTATTGAGGATATCTGTGTACACTGCATACTTTTGTGTGTTTTTATAATTAGTTGTATTCATCTTAATGTATATGTAATAACTTTACAGAAGCAAGCAGAAAATATGGGCCTTTTCCTCCGTGTGGTAAAAGTTTAAACTAAATCTTAAACAGAGCCAGACTGGAGCGTCAACCCTCTCGTGTCTCAAAACATCCGTGACGAAGGTAATTAGAGAAGAGTTTAATATCAATTACATTTTCCATTTATGTTCGCATGTTGAATAAAACACTGATTTTAGAAGCGTTTCCATATGTCATTACACCCAAAGACAATACATCACACTAAAAACATATTTGTAACCATTTGGAAAACGTATCCACAAGACAATGCCCATCCCAAACGGGAATCTGTTCCATATGCTCCACACAGTTCCTTCATCTCACTTGCACTCAATTTCACAACCTCATTGACAGATAAGAGACATGTTGGTGTGATATGTGAAGCCATCTGGTTTTCGTTATAGTTGGCATTTGAAATGTACTTTTTCTACAAAGACAGCAGTTGTCTTGAGTGCCGCTAAACGTTTACTAGTCGGTGTGGAAAAACTATGAATGCAGCAACATCAAGCACGTAACTACCACCACGTCTTTCTCTTTTACTGCCTCAACAATCACAGCAGCTGTAAATCCACTGCCAGCCGACACGAACACACACCCAGTGAAGCCCACTTCAAGAGAAACTATAATAAGCCTCGGCTGACACAGAAGCACAGAAACGGACTTTGCCGCAACATGTGGGCCCTGAAATTGGTCTTCTAAAGAAATGTATCTGTGCACACATTCAAACTGGTGTCAATGAGCTTTCCACAACATTGCATTTTACTGGGAGCGTCAGAGCAATTTAGCCTGCACACACGACTCCTAAAACAAAGAAAAGACAACCGAAAAGAACAAATAGGGCTTCCAACAGGGCACCGCTGCAGTTTGAAGAAGCTGCTGCCGTGCGAGCAAACGGCCCAGGAATGTTTGTGCATTCCAGTGGAAGGGTACTCTCACCGGGAGGGAGGAAGCCAGGGAGAACACTTCACCTCTGCTTTACCTACCTACCGCCTGAAGACCACGAATCGATCCAACATCAATGGTTCAAAAGGGAATCGTAAGGTTTCTAGTGTTTTTCCTCGATGCAGCTGATAGTGAAGTGCTGTTTGTCAGTTCCTCCTTTTTGTGTGAAATCATCTCCAAATAGAACAACAATCATTAATGCATCATAAAGAAATAAAACACACAACCTCTACCAGCAGGATGAACAGAAGAAGAAGAAGAACATCTTGATCTTACTTTATGTAGGCTACAAAATAATTTCACCACTCTGTGGAAAAACAATTAGTGCGTCTCAGGGTAATAACAGAGAGCAATTCATTTCTACACTTAATGTTCCCTTTAATTAAAAACAAATGGCCTACCAGCCTTCAACTTCAATACACTTGTTCCACCTTTAGTTCCCCATTGGGTGCATGTTTTATTGAACCACAATTAAATCCGCTATCAAATTAGGTTTACAATCGTCCCAAGCCAAGAGCAAAGCAAGTTTTACATGTGGAATTATTAACAAAGGGAAGATAGGAAAATGGTAAGGTTGGCAATAGACAGCCAGAACATTTTATAAAACATGTTTAAGTTATGACATCCTCAAATTATTCACAGATGTTCAAATCTTTTATTCTGTCGGGGGACTGCCGAGAATTCCTTACTTTAGGTAATCATAAAAGACATGTTAAGTCGCGCAGGAATATCACATACTGTATTAACACCAGGGTAGAGGATATAAACGGCTGCTACTTTTTTTGACAGCTGGTTTTTCTTGCCTTGCAAATACGAATCCCAAGAGGCCTGGCAGACAGCCAGATGATCAGCTGACTACAGCACAGCCACACACACACACACACACACACACACACACAGACAGACACACGTATACATCACTTCAGGGGACATTACATTGACTTACATGCATTTCCTGGAGACTTATCCTACCCTTAACCATAACCAACACATGCCTAACCCTAACCCTTAACCTTACCCTTAACCTTAACCAAGTCTTCACCCTAAAATTAATGATACCCCTCATGGGGACCTCCATTTTGTCCCCATGAGGAGAGGCGAGTCCCCACACGTGACTGTGTAAACAGATGTAGGTCCCCACAAGTATAGTAATGCTCACACACACACACACACACACGACCTGAGGCCTCGGATACTAAGATGACGAACAAAAGGGAAACACATGTTATATATTGTTTATATACAAAGAGGATTGACTTAAAGATGTTGTGATTAAAAACTTGTCCCTTTTTTACTAAAATGTGTAATTGTATTCCTGAATGCTAAAATGCAATCAATAGAAGAAATCATGCTTTTTCAGATTAAAGCCTTTTATATCTTTAGCCCGAATAAAACCTTGATTTACTTTATATACAAATATTATTTAACCCTATGCTGTAGATATTGTGCATGTGACAAAAAAGCATTTATTGTGTCGTAGCTCGGCTCTAGTTCTGTGATCAGTTGAACCCTGATGGCCGTCCACACGGGAAGTTGTTGAAGTGAATGGGAAGAAGCGTCGATTCACTTTGAATGGGGTGACGTCACGCTTTGCCGAACTGCATTGTGGTTCCGTCGCTTCGCGTTGCTCGCTTCAAAAGTTAAGCAATGTTCAAGTTTTGAAGCTTCGATGGAAGCGTCATCCAATCGAATCATATGCCAGTACAAGCTCTAGCCAATCAAACCGCACGCTTGTGTGTCCGGGGCGGGAGATTCATGTGATTGGTTGTTCGTCGAGTTTCAGACACGCTCACCGGCAAGCTTCAACGCACGCCGCCGTGTGGACGCTGCGTCACCACGTTATAGCCTGTGTGATGAAAATGCTTTACCTGCTGAACATGTTTATCTCCATATATTTATCCTGCAGTACATGAACGGATCAGAGTCCTAACTCAGTGGGATGCTTTGACGTGGGCTGTCAAACACACAGCTGCAGAGAAAAGGCCTCGGCATCTCACAAGTGTGTTAAACATCAGCTTTAACCATCTGATGTTCCAGGACAGTTGGGATACTATGAGTCGGAGCTCAGGGCAATCTGCTTCCTACTTGCAGCGTCCGCCTACTATCTGCAGACCTCTCTGCTTTCAACACTGAGATCCAGCATCCGTCATATTCTGAGCTGAGACCACTTATCGTCCTCTGCCTCATGTCATAGAAAGTCATCGTCCTCTCCCTCATGTCATAGAAAGTCATCGTCCTCTGCCTCATGTCATAGAAAGTCATCGTCCTCTCCCTCATGTCATAGAAAGTCATCGTCCTCTCCCTCATGTCATAGAAAGTCATCGTCCTCTCCCTCATGTCATAGAAAGTCATCGTCCTCTCCCTCATGTCATAGAAAGTCATCGTCCTCTCCCTCATGTCATAGAAAGTCATCGTCCTCTCCCTCATGTCATAGAAAGTCATCGTCCTCTCCCTCATGTCATAGAAAGTCATCGTCCTCTCCCTCATGTCATAGAAAGTCATCGTCCTCTCCCTCATGTCATAGAAAGTCATCGTCCTCTCCCTCATGTCATAGAAAGTCATCGTCCTCTCCCTCATGTCATAGAAAGTCCACCAAACACTGAACATAAGCGGCTTGTTGACTCCATACACTGCATGCACATTGAACCAGAGCCACAACAGGGCTTAGCTGATTACCTCTTATGCATCATTACAACTGGAAACCTGATCCCTGTTTTAAATGCACGACCACAGAAGGCAGAAACACGAGTCCCACAAGCAGATGGGCAAAGTCGGGGTCATGATATCCTCCATGTTATGTTGTGCAAATATTAGACATAGAAGCATGCCAATCTAATTACTCTAAGGGGCTTATTGCGTATGTATGATATGCACAGTAGGATGAAAGATATTTGAAATGATGTGAAATTCAGGACTCTAAAAGAAGATGTTCTCAATTTGAAGTTTCTTTTATCTTCGTGACGCATTTGACCTTTGATGCAAACACCACACACCTCTTTGCACCTTGCAACCAGTCATTCATTCAACTCCCAAAACCACACCAAAGTCTGGCCTCACTTTCTCCGCTGCCGGAGCCAAAGACCTGTCATCCAAAAGAGATCAACACTTTGGCAGCAAGAGGCATGCAGGTGTTCAGCAGGGGACGGCTGTCTTCCCTGCTGAAGCGGCCCTATGATGTTCCTGTAGTGTGTTCTATAGGTGCACGGTCTGCAAAGGATCAAATCCCTGCAGAGGGAGTTTCTCTCTCTTTAGTTGTGGTGCAGCTTTGGGAGGCATCTCTTTAATCTCACTTTATACATTATCATATCATGAAAACGGACCTGTGGCAGAGCGGTGTTGAGTTGTCTCTGCAGGGAGTCTCTCTCGTGGCTGACTTCGTGCAGTTTGCCTTGCGTCAGGCCCAGATTCTCCTGCGTCTCTCTCAGAGTGTCCAGAAGACGATCCCTCTCCTCCAGCATGGACACCATCAGCGACTCAAAGTGACCTTCAGAGTCCGACTGCAGCGGGGAGCCCGAGCCCCGGCGCCCGCCGCCCCCCTCCGACTCGCTGATGGTGGGCATCACCTCGCACATCATCTGCAGCCAGGGATGGACAGGGAAGGAGATGAAAAGAGGAGAAACAGTTTAGAGTTGGAATAAAGGCATGAAGATATTTAGAAAAGTCAGGAGGACGGAAAGTCGGTTAACTGCAACATTTCAGTATGAAAGCTAGGGCGGCAAATTAATCGACATCTTAAAGAAATTGGAATATGGGCTAGCGCAATATCGAAAGAAATCGAAGAAAGCTTAATATTTGTTAAGGCTAAATAAAAACATTCTCGGACTTACTTATCAAAACATATGTACAGTATTTAGTGGATTTGATTTCCGTTGAAGTTAAGTGGCTGAAAAAACGTCTCATATCAAACCCAAAATATCATCAAACCCTTTAACACAATGTCACATGTGGTGCCGCCCTAATTCATGCTCAATATTCAAGTTTGTAAAAGCCAGAACACAGATCTATAAAAGGCCAGTACTCCCGTCCAAGGAAAGTTCAGTTTGTAGCCGATTGGTTGGACTTTTCGTAGTCTTTCATTCATTCTCCTCCCCAAAAGCTTAAGCAATGTACGCCGGTAAAAAGGTGTCAGGCTAAAAGATTGCTGTCGTAAACAAATAATCTCAGGGTATAAAGTTAAACCGTTTTCCTTCAAATTACAAATACATTAAAAAAAAAAAAACAGTTCGAAATTCATTGGAGCTTAATTGTAAATTAAAGTGGTTTACAACCTGGGTTTTAAAGTGGATTATGTTCTAAAGCAGACCCCCCCCCCCCCTCTAGACAGATTTGAGATAACACAGAAGACAGAGGGCAAGTAAGGTGCATCGCTGGGGTGATTTGATCAGCATACTTTGCAGACACCGAAGCATTGGCTATTACGAAAGTGTACTGACAAAGCAGAAGAGAACACTTACTCATGATTATTAATAATGGCTAACTAGAGTAGACGGTCGAGTTAACCTACATTGGTACTGTTATGAAATAACTGAGAGCTTTAAATCAATTAGCTGTGTTTGTGTCTGGAGTTTGTGGAGTAATGTTGCATCTAACAACAGCTGCAGGAAGGTCTGCAGAATTAGAGCCACTCTCCAAGGAGCTCAGGACCTGTAGACAGACTGCTAGACAAAAAGCCAAGAATCATGTGAGCTGGATTTAAAATACCTGCAAGGAATAACGACTTATAAATTAGAGCAAGTGCCATGGGGAACTCAGAGCAAGGCTACCACTTCATCGTAAGCAGCGCCTGAAATGCCAAAAGCCATTTGCTTTCAGAAGCTGTTTTCGGTTCAGTGCACCAACACTTAACTGCATCTCACAAAAAGAGCTGGACCATACCTGACACACTCAAATTAACGAGATAGAAATCAACCTGTCATCCTTAATTAATGATCACAATGCATGTTTTAGATGGACCCTATTTCTGTGGAAGGAGGGAAATGTAACCTCATTTAACAGTAATACAAATACAAACCATCACTGCATATCGAGGTCAGGCCATTCAGGCTCAACAATGTTTATGAGGGGGAGGGTCACACAGCATCCATGAGAGGGAGTGACAGATGGTGGGTCCCGTGTAACTCAGCACAGACATTACTACGTCAAAAGGTAAAGATGACAGCCTCCGGAAGCTAAATAGATTTCAGCGTGAAACCCTCTTTAGCCAGGTGCATCTGTTTCCATTGGACGAGGATGCTAACTGAGAGGCACATCTGGCCAAACGAGGACTAAAGGCTGCACCACTTGTGACTCAATGAGTAATTTGTGCAATTATAATTTTAAAATAATCAAATTCACTTTAGATTAGGTTGCAACATTCTGCAGTAATGGGTTTTTAAAGAAGCCAACAACTGAAGTGCAGTTCTATCAGTGTTATCCACTATGATACAACCAAGAAATATGATTGGTCACTTCTAATACAAACCACCCACATCTGACACTTACCCACAGCCACTCCATGGCTGACATTACATTGATGCAAACTATGCATACAATACGTTTGTATTTAATTAATGGCAGTCCTTCACGCCCCTCCGAAAATATTGCACATCTGTATACGAAGCTACATCTTTAAATATCTGTACAGCTTTTCACTTTTCGTAACAATACTGCACATATTCAATATTTCATGTAAATATGTCTCTATATTTTAAAGTTGTCTACAATTGCTTTACTTTTTTGTTAATTGTCTTCCAATGTATCACAGTGTTTAGGTATGCACCATGTACACCAAGGCACATTCCTCGCATTTGTAAACCATACTTGGCAGAAAACATATTTCTGATTCAGATTTATTTTTACTTTCGATATTATCTGCCTAAAGATGTGAACCTCTCACCTTTGAAGAATGTAGTTATTCCAACAGCCTTTGTAATCCACGTTACTTTATGATGCCAAGTAAACGTCAACAAAGTCCAGGTACTCCAATCGTGTGTTAAAACCTTCACAAATATCCTTTAGTTTAGAATATCAAATCCATTCCCAGGCAGGGCTGTAATAAGGCTGTCAAAAAACGAGGCTTCTGGGTGAAAAAAAGAGGGGATAATTTCCTAAAGGCCTCAAAGAGAAACCCACATCAAGTGAGCAGAGGGGCAGTTTTCCAAGTTTGGCCGGCTAACCCAACGTTAGCAAGCTAGCATTAAGTAAGCTTGCATATCTAGATTTGGAAGTAAAGTGTCTTATTTTTGCTTTTCAAAACAAACAAACATTACGTTTAACCAGCTGGTAATAAGATATCACACCAGATAGACATGTGATGGTACAGTAAGGTTAGGTGGAAACAGTTGTATCCCGGCTAGCCTTAGCTAATTTGAAACAGAATTATTTGGGAGTTTAAAAGTCGACAGCTAGCCAATGTTAGCCACTAGCCAGCTAGGTAGCTAACGGTTGCTAGATTAAATGGACTAACTTCTAAAGATACTCTCTATTCCATATAAAAGTAGACAACATGGTAAAACATCTCATAGCTATTTATCTTACATTACCGAAAATATTGATTTAAAAATAGGTTTTAAAAGCTTTGCTAAAAGTGATTAATCTATCAAGTAGCTATGAAGTTAGCCACTGAGCTAACGTTAGCTTCCCGTCGCGTCACCACATCATCACAAACTTCCAGCTAACATTGAAACGTTAGCGATGCTTTGATCCGTTTGGAAAACCCCAAACCGCAAGTAAAAACGTTATAATCCCTTCGTGTCCGTCCGAGTTGGTGGTGTTGTCTCGGTTATTTCCCCCCCAAAAGGTCCTTGAGTCCGGTCCTTCCCTGTCGCCTCTTGCCTGCCAGCCTCGGCAGTCGGGACACTCTGAAGCTAGCTCTGTTAGCATTAGCCTGGAAGAGATACAGGTCTGCAACAGGAGGAACAGGGAGAGCAGTTCCTGAAGACACGAAACTGAGTATAAAGTGAAATGTGCAATAAGACCATACAATAAAAATAAAATAATACACATGTATACAAACCTAAGAAGTTGGAGTAAAACATGTGATGTGCAGCAAGAAAATATAAAACAAAACAACACTTAAAAGAAATTGAATATATAAGAAGTTAAAATAAATATGTGCAATAAGTCAATAACATAACATACAATATAATAATGCATATTTATATAAACCTGAGAAGTTAAAGTGAAAATGTGCAATAAGACAATAACATTAAATATAATAATACATATTTATACAAACGTAAGAAATTAAAGTAAAAATGTGCAATAAGACCATAAAATGAGAAACAGGAGGAAATGGAAGAGCAGCTTTTTCACTTCCTGTGGAAAATCCTTCAAATGGAAGAATTACCTAAAACAACAGTTTGCATAAATACAATGACATGTGTTTCTGTCATCGGTCTGGAATGTTTTTAAATGCTAAATGACAGCTTAATAAAAAACAAAAAAAGTTCAAATGTGCATTAAGACGATAACAAATAATACAAATGTTTATATAATCATAAGAAATAAAAGTTAAAATGTGCAATTAAATGATAAAATTAAATAAAAATAACTTATTTTTTTTCTAAAGATAAGAAGTTAAGGAAATAATGTGCAAAAAGAAGATAAAATAGAATATAATGTAATTTGTATTTTATAATAATATGTAGAAATGTTCACATTGTGCTTAAATATATAAAAATAATCAATATGTTAAAATGTGTATATAAAAATATATGCAGTGATGTTTAAGTATTAATGAAAACAGAATTTTGCTTGGATTGTACGGTGTAATATTGTATATTTTGTAATTTGATGTTACATTGGGCATTTGAATTATGTTAGATAAAATATCTGATAACTATTATGTTGGTTTCACAATAAAGATAATAGTGGCGCCATCGTGTGGCATATCAACAGAAGAATACATAATGCAGAATCTCTACATTATAATGTTACTGAGAGGATTCAATTACCCGTTTCTACAACTGAACGTTAGTTTATGGGTTTAAAAACCTTATAATTGCAATAATTTAACAAATGGGACTGTTTCCATTCAATCGCTGAAACCTCAAAGTAATCTACTCTCTATAATCAGGATTTATAAACTTATGTTATATCAAGTTGTTTTATTAAACACTTTTCTCCCTCATATCTATATGACAACTTTCCTTTACCAGTCATCTTCAACAGTAAATAAATACAGAGCTCAATCCCAGGTCAAATGCACATAAAGGGTAATAATGAGGTTCAGCAACAGGAAAGCATTACAAATAATGCCATTTGTATTATATTAAATAAACTATCCAAGATGTGTGTTTGATGCAAGAGAGAAAGAGAAATAAATTGGACAAAAGAAAAAGAGATATGAGAGAGTTTTTATTGAAACTTTAAGCCTAAAGGAGTTAGGATAAGGCTGAACAATTAAGTTTTACATGTACTATTAACATTAAGCATTACACTGATTGGATACACATATCAATCAAGTTTTAAATCATAATGGAGTACATCAGGGGTGGCCAACCAGTCAGAGGTTAAGAGCCACATTTTTTCTATGTTACTGCAAAGAGCCACATCAAACACACAGTCACTGATAACGCTTGTTTCAGTTTTTTGTTTTCTGGAGACAAGATTTCAACCACGTCACTGATGCATCTTTGTGGCATTGGGATATATATTTTTTAAATCCTCTGGAGCAGAGAGAGGAGCTGTGGATTATTGTTATTGATGAATGCATCTGTTTCTTAGGGTCAAAAACAATAAACTCACAACTTAAAATGAAAGCGTTTAGTTTATTTAATAAAAGAGCACATGTTCAATGTGAAAAGTGACAGTAGTTATAGATTATTTGCAATTTGGTGCTATATATATATTTAAAAAATATATATTATATATATTTTTGAAACACCTTGAATTTCAGGGGGGGGGCGCGGGGCTCCGTTGGCGGGGCGCAGCGCCCCTCCAACACAATGGTAGGGGAAACACTGGATAGTGTTTAATCAACGATAGGTTTTCCCCCCCTCAAAGGTGATTGGTTCACTGCATCGCAGGTATTATTGTGATTGGCTCTTGGGTCACATCAAAATTAGACGCGCTGTCATCCTCTCATACTGACACCTGACACCACACTTACACACGTAGAGAGAGCCGGGACGAAAGTAACACGGGACGAAAGTAACGGAGCGATTTTATCCGAGCCCAAACAACTTTGACCGGCCAAATTACGTCAGAATTATCAGCATTCAATACTTAACAGACCTACTAAATATCAGGTTTAACTGTCAGGAGTAGCTAGTGTTGTCACGATACCAACATTTTGGTTTCGATACCAAGTCAAGAATTGCGATTCCGATTCTTTTTTGATACTTTTCTTAAAAAAAGGGAAACAGTCTTAAATGTAATTATTGTGCTTTATTTCACACCAGAACCATAACCATAACACACACTTTTAAACAATGAGAACAATAAATAAAATAAATGACAAGAATTCGTATTAAATAAAATTAATACATTTCTCACAGACGGGCCTCGTGGTGTCCGTGGTTTGCCCTCACTGTCAGAGATATAGCTCAAATACTTCCAAATTTCGCTTCTGGCGTCTTTTTTGTCAACAAGCCGAGGCGCAGCGGCAGTTGCACTCCCACTTGCAGCCATGCTTCTCGTTTTCTCACATGCTCTGGCAGCTAGCGCGTGCACGAGAGAGGGGAGGCACTTAGAGCGTGCTTGAGAGGGGAGGGACTTAGAGCGTGCTTGAGAGGGGAGGGACTTAGAGCGTGCTTGAGAGGGAGGGACTGCAGGCAAGGCTGCAGTGCAGGGAGTGGAAGCAGAGCGCTGAACACACACGGCTCTTATTAAAACGGCGCTTTCTCACCGGAGTACTTTTCCCCGTCATTCTTAAAGTACCGATACTAATGAAACGGCGGAATCGTAACGTTTTTAAAGGCAGGGTATCGCGGTACCTTTCAAGTATCGGTACACCGTGCAACACTGGTCAGGAGTCAATGTCTCTCCCCCAAACTCACACATATACAATTCGATATGAACTGAAGAGCCGCATGAAACTAGGCAAAGAGCCGCATGCGGCTCGAGAGCCGCGGGTTGGCCACCCCTGGAGTACATGATATAACAATCACTTGTGAAGCTACATAGGATTACACTGTAAACAGTGGTTAACACCACAATAAACACCACTTATAACCCATAAGGCACAAATGAAGACTCGTTATCTGATAGCATTAAAAAACAAGAAGCTTAATGTAGTCAAATGCAACCGATAAAAAAAATGGGTATTCTGAAATGGCCGCTTTCTTAGTTTTCGAAAGAGGGCAACGGTTGGTATTTGACCTTTGATGCTCTGACTTTGTACAGGGCCACTGCACTGATCATGCCAACGGCTGCAAGAAGACATCCAACGATGAACACCAGGTTCAGATTCAGGGGGGTCGCTGGAGAGAAAGAGAAACGTTATTTTAATTTCACATTTCCAAAGACTAACTCCTCAGAGGACATGGTCGAATTGTCTTATTAGTCCAGGAAGGTTCTTTACCGAGTGAAACGACCCGAGGTCTCTAAGTGGCATCCATGATAACAGCTTTTTAAAATGTTGATGATAGGAAAGAAGCTTTAATGCTTGATATCTCCTTTAGGATACACTGGAAAATCCTGTCCCACAATACCTAAGGCCCATCACTTTTTCACTAAGGTTAGAACCTAATCTGCTCATTCTCATATCAGTAGTGTCTCTACTGGGACATGTCTCCATGCTTTAATGTTCAAAAAGCTCTTTATTTCTCTCATACTGCCTGTGCTGCAGCACCTCTTTTCACCCTCTGTTTGAAACCAGAGCCCAGTCTGCTCTGATTGGTTAGCTGGTCGGCTCTGTTGTGATTGGTCAACCACTTACAGTAGAGATGTCCCGCCCCTTAGCCTATCACGTACAATGTGTTGCAGCACAAGCCAATAGGAGCGCAAGTGATAACTAGTGATGTCACTATGTTCCAGAAGTCCCGTTAAGGAAAAGTGGTTAGGAGAAGACACAGGTCCTAATTTTCACTTTTCAACCGTAGCCTCAAAGTAGGCAGGTACTTCTGAGGGAAAACGTACCTGGGCTCCCGGTGCTCTCCGCTGATCTCTTCAAACGCAGAGGACCCTGGGAAATGAAGTGCCTGGCGCTCTGAGTGATGGCCTCTCTCTTGCGGTGATGATGATGCCCAGTAAGGGGGGAGTTGATGCACCCCTGTGAGCACCTGGTGCCGCTGCTCCCTGCCTCACACATCAGCACTGAACAGCTGATGTACACCTGAACGCAACACAACACGCTGTCATTACATCAGCAGATATACAGACTTTTTTTCAAGTGGAGAAATAACAGAGCTGTGGTTGGATCAAAGACAAAATATATCGACACTTTTGTGCTTTTACTTTAGTAAAAATGTCAGACTACATGCAACAGAGTATTCCTACACTGTGGTATTAATGATTTGTATTAAGTAAAAGATCAGAGAGTATAGACACATATTAGATTGTTCACCTGGTCGTGCAAGCCGATGAACTGGAAGGCCTCCATGCTGAACCTGAACTGTCTCGGGTTGGCGCTCCGATGCACCTGCACCGTTTGGTCCACATTACACCTAACAGTAACAACAAAAAGAAAAGTTAAGAAATATTGCGTCTGTGAGTCCATGCCTCACGATTGGTAATCGCTAAAATTGCTAATCTAATGCTAATTTTGATACATTAAAAGGAAATCAATTCAGACACCAAAAGCCACATTTAGCGAAATGTATTTTTGGAAGCCTTTTTCAAAAAGTTTGAAACATACTCGTTTATTTTGTTTTTTAACAAAAGTGTGTACCTGATGGAGGACTGCAGATGGAAATGAGTTAAAAGCAAGCAGAAATGTTCTCTTTTTGAGATTAACCTGTATTGATGGTCCTTGTTCAATAAAGACAACAATAATAATTGTTTTTCCTGATTAAATCCCATATTAATGCACTGCCTTAAAACACGTCATTCCCACCTACGGGCAGTTTAGTTACAAACCTATGACACAGCACATCTTTCCCAATGCATTGTTATGTCCCCTGTTGCCACTAGATGGCGTGCTCATGCCTACCCATTCTCGATGATGGAGTATGTTGGCCAGTAGTTGGGGGTGTCATATGGCGCCGCACTGCAGGACTCCACAAACATCTGGGTGTTGTTGACGGTAGATTTGGCCTCTATCTGCATGTAGATCTTGTTCGTCACATCGTACTCCAGAGGGTACAGCCCTGGATCGACCATTTGTCTATATTGGCTGTCTGGGTAGAACTCAAACTCGTAGGTGAACTTTCCGAAGCCTTTATCCCACACCACCACATTCCTCCTGTGTGCTGTGAAGCCCTGCGACACGTTCCCACGTTTGGGGTACTGGCAGTAGAACTGGACCTCGAGCAGGTGGTTCCTGGTGATCAGGTCGTGTATGTTGTCCACCGTGGTGATTTCATTTTTGAAAACCAGGTTTTCCTCATCTTCCTGCAGAGTTAAAGGGGACATATTGTGTTCACGTTCATATGTGTATTTGGGGTGTCAACTAGAATCTGTTTGCATGCTTTAATGTCTAAAACATTGTAATTTTACTTATATGAATATTTTTAGGACCCAGTCCCCGTCATACTCCTAATAAAAAGTAGTTTAGAGAAAAAACCGGCAGGTGATGAAACAGATGCTCTATTGTTACCTCGATCTGAGTGCCGCAGGCGTTGAGGGGTACGACCGCGATGATGTGCGTGCTGTTGGAGTTTGTCTGCAGGTTGCAGGCCGTGTTGCTGGGGTCATTGAGGCGTAAATGATCCTCATGGAGTCCAGGGAGAGAAGATCTCTCAACCTCTACCGTCATTGAGGACTCATGGCAGGTCACATGGGATTCAACTAGATCAAGAGATAAATAGTTTACAAAATAAATACACATTACACTGATGGTTCTAGTCTACAGGTGGCAGTAACGCTCCAGAACAGACAAGAAGAAGACTGCAAAGCTAGTTAACAAAGATTTATATTGACTTGTTTGCTCCTTAAATATTGTTTGAAACTTGGATTGAACAAAATAACAGTGCAGCTGTTCTTATCGAATCAACCCCTCCCAACTTTAGTTTTATGAGTCAGGAAAGAATGCATAAGAAAGGGGGTGGAGTTGCTATTCTGTTCAATGATTCCCTTCAATGCAGGAAGACATCGTATGGAAACTTTGATTCTTTTGAATATGTGGCCCTTCGGCTGAAATGCTCCTCTCGAGCTCTGTTCCTAAATATCTATAGACCACCCAAATACTGTGCAAGCTTTTTTGATGACTTTACTGAACTGCTGTCTATAGTGTGTATTGACTTTGACCGTCTAGTCATTGTTGGTGATTTTAACATCCATGTTGACAACCCCCAGGACAGAGGGGCTAAAGAACTATTTTGTGTTCTTGATAGCTATGGACTGACTCAGCATGTGACGGAGCCCACGCACAATAAGGGGCACACTCTGGACTTAATTATCTCAAAGGGTCTGAATATCTCTAAGGTTGTGGTGACTGATGTTGCACTCTCTGACCATTCCTGTGTTTTCTTTGAGAGCTCTATTTCTGTTCACAAAAATGTTCAAAAAGAGGTAACCACAAAGCGATATTTAACTGAAAATACTAGGGAAATGTTTACTCAGAATTTCTCTTCCACACTTGCCCCTGCCAACATCTCAGTAAATGAGCTAGTAGATCATTTTAATTCAAAAATTAAAAATGTTATAGATGCCATTGCTCCAACTAAGGTAAAGGAAGTGTCTGGCAAGAAAATATCTCCATGGAGAAAGGCCATGACCGTGAAAACAGAAAAAAGAGAATGTCGAAAAGCTGAACGCAGGTGGCGAAAAACAAATCTCCAGGTTCACTTGAAATCTATAAAGAGAGACTTGGCCTTTATAATTTGGAATTGAAAAACGCACGACAATCGTTCTTCTCTGACATCATTACCAAAAACAAAAACAACGCACGTGCCTTGTTTGCTACCGTCGACAGACTAACTAACCCCCCAGTGTCAGTAGCCTCTGAATTTCTATCCACCAGGGCGTGCAATGATTTTGCCTCCTTTTTCACTGACAAAATTCAGAAAATCAGACAAGCAGTCAGTGCCTCTGCATCAGGAACAGCAAATGTGTTGTCCCTATCTCCACTTAACATCAATTCAGACATCATGACACAATTCCATCAGATTAATGATAAAAACCTAGAGGACATTATTCAACTTCTGAAATCCTCCTCCTGCTGCCTTGATATTATTCCAACAGGATTTTTCAAAGATGTTTTGCCTTGCATGGCCTCAGATCTACTTCATATAGTAAACAAATCTCTTCACTCAGGTATTTTTCCACAGGCCCTGAAAACTGCAGTCATTAAACCGCTCTTAAAAAAGAATAATCTAGATGCTTCAGTAATGAACAATTACAGGCCCATATCAAACCTCCCATTTCTAGGTAAAATCATTGAAAAAGTTGTTTTTCAACAGTTGAGTAATTTCTTGCATTTAAATAACTGTTTCGATGTGTTCCAGTCAGGCTTTCGTCCAAACCACAGCACTGAGACTGCTCTTGTAAAGGTCTTTCATGACATCCACTTAAACACAGACAGTGGCAGAACTTCAGTGTTAGTATTATTAGATCTCAGTGCTGCGTTTGACACTGTTGACCACAGCATATTACTAGACCGACTGGAAAACTGGGTGGGACTTTCGGAAACAGTTCTGAATTGGTTTGAATCCTACTTAAAGGACAGAAACAACTTTGTTTCTATAGGTAAATACACATCTGAGTTGACAAATATGACATGTGGGGTTCCTCAAGGCTCCATCTTGGGGCCTCTTCTCTTTCACATCTACATGCTACCACTGGCTCAGATAATGAAGAACAACAAAATAAGTTACCATAGCTATGCAGATGACACACAAATTTACGTAACAATTTCACCAGGAGACTATGCTCCAATTCAAACACTGAGTAAGTGCATTGAACAAATCAATGACTGGATGTGTCAGAACTTTCTCCAATTAAACAAAGATAAAACTGAGGTAATGGTTTTTGGAGCCAAGTCAGAACGTATAAAAGTTAGCGCTGAGCTTCAGTCTGCAATGTTCAAAACAACAGATAAAGCCAGAAATCTAGGTGTAGTCATGGACTCTGACCTGAGTTTCAACAGTCACATTAAAACAGTTACTAAATCAGCCTACTATCACCTAAAGAATATATCTAGGATTAAAAGACTAATGTCACAGCAGGATTTGGAAAAACTTGTCCATGCTTTTATCTTCAGTAGACTCGACTACTGCAATGGTGTCTTCACAGGTCTCACTAAAAAATCTATTAGGAAGCTGCAGCTGATTCAGAACGCCGCTGCTCGAGTCCTCACTAACACTAAGAAAGTGGATCACATCACTCCTGTTCTGAAGTCTTTACACTGGCTTCCTGTGTGTCAAAGAATAGATTTCAAAATACTGCTGCTGGTTTATAAAGCACTGAATGGTTTAGGCCCAAAATACATTTCTGACCTCCTGCTAAATTATGAACCATCCAGATCTCTCAGGTCTTCAGGGACTGGTCAGCTTTCTGTCCCCAGAGTCAGAACTAAACATGGTAAAGCAGCGTTCAGTTATTATGCTCCAAATATCTGGAACAAACTCCCAGAAACCTGCAGGTCCGCTGCAACTCTGACTACTTTTAAATCCAGGCTGAAGACTTTTCTTTTTGTCGCTGCTTTTAATTGAACTATTCATATCTTAAACTGCACTGTAACTTTTATCCATGTACTTTTTTCTTTTAATGTTTAATTTATTAGCTTTTCTTTTTAATGACTGATTTTAAATGCCATTTTCTTAATCTCTTTCATTTTTTGTAAAGCACTTTGAATTGCCTTGTGTTGAAAAGTGCTATATAAATAAACTTGCCTTGCCTTGCCTTGCCTTTGACCCAAAAGAAAGGTTTCAGTTAATATAAATTCAGGGCATGGGTGGTGTTTTTCGCCTACAGTAATGGGTTTGATTTGATCAAACACAACGGCCTTGCAAAAGTCCATGAAGCCACTAATGGAATGTAACCTTTTGGTTATGATATAAACGCCTTTCCAGTTGTAGATCTACTATACAATGTTGATGTTAAACAAAAATCGTTCTTACTTAGTCTTTGACCGATGTTCACCAGAACGCACCTCATCTCGGACTGATAGATGCCGGACCTGAAAAGCATCAATGACCAAAGATTTATCTTGAATCGTTTTTTTTGTTTAAAGAGTAATGCCTGTTACTCATTCAGTAAGGTGTTTGAATTTTAGGTAACTTTGACCACATAGTCACTAAAATCAATATGCAGACGATTTATTTGTTTATGTCAATGTCGTGTATAGCTTTTTAAGTTTGATTCAAAAATGTCAAACTGTTACTTACTGTGGAGATTTGTGGACGTGGACATGTTCCTGGTGATAGGTTGCGGCTGGAGGGCGGTAACCCTTTTTAGTTTTAGGGGGGATGGTAGAGGCGGGACTGTAAAATGTGTGAAAAGTGAAATCAATATTTAACACACACAAATGCATACTAATTGTATCAAATAGAAAATAAATGTAAGGCTCACTCACTCGATTACTGATTCAACAGCAAAGCAGATTGGGTAATGATCCCCCACATCATCAGGGCCAGGCGTCCACCTAATGACAAAGTCTCCATGTGTGCTTCTGTGCTTGGTGATATTCAGTGGCCCACTGATGATGATATCATGTAGTCTGTGTGAAAACAAAAGAAAGAAACCAGATATTTCCTTTTTATCGCTGAAGTTATCTCACTAGCAGAAATGCTGATAATGTTCTGACCCCACAAGGCAATACTCATCACGTTGATTCTCACTTACGTTGCATGTGAAGCTTGTGCTCGGACTCTGATCTCCACTTCTTTGTTGACCTCGGCATTGATGTGTTGTCCATCGTCAGGTGTTGGGTGCACAAACTTTGGCAAGTAGAGTCCATCAACACATGAGGGAGCAGGTGGGTCCACTGCAGTTAAAAAGTGCAACAGTTCTTGAAGAGTTCTTGATCAGTTCTTAAAACCACTTTGTCATTGTCTGTTGCTCAACACATCAAAGCTGTCACAGCAGATTATATTCATTAGCTGTCAAAGGCTAATTATCTTCAGGTGAGGGTTTTGAAGAGGGAAATCCTAAAATTGCTATCTTCAAATTACGGCTTTTCCACTAGTTTGTGCGGACTGTTGCAGAAAGCTGTGAGGCCGTATTATCCCTGACATTTTACCGCACCCCCATTCATTTTTAAATGAAGCCCATCGTCACAACCATAATTGTAAGTTCCTTGATTCTGGCCTCTTGTTAAGGCACCGACACATAGACAACATTTTGAAAATTATTTCTAAAAATAAGAAATTCCACCAGATGGCGCTATAGACCACTTGAAAGAAATAAAAAAAACGAGTGCTTCAAAATACTAATGTAATGATTTTTTTTTTAAAGATCCAACAATCCTGGCATTTTTCCGGATTTATAAATGTCACAACCCTAATCCCTCACATTCCTAATATTTTACCTGAAAGAGCCGGTCATGTACATTTGCATACACCTAAGAAACCAAAGGAAAATCGCAAATCCATAATTGTGAGTCAACCTCACCTAAGGGTTAGGGTTAGGGTTTTCAGGACAACTAAAATGTCTCTATGCAGGTGTAGAACATTTACTTACTTCTTATGCTAAAGAATGTATTTAGAACACAAATGTAGAACAAAAAATAAGATGTTGCACATTAAGGTGTCACTAGAGCTGCAAGAGGTGCATGACAGGTTACACCTGAAGGCAGTGCTTTTCAGAAACAGCTTTTATGTTAGTATGGATTTCCTAATTGAGGACAAGTAAAACCTGACTCACCAAGAAAGGAGAATTGCAAAGACAGTTTACTGAGAGGAGGCGTGGTGCCATGCAGGTGTTGCTGCCATGGGTGTGTTGTTGGTGCCATAGTGTTAAGCGCTGGAGTCGTGATTGGTGCTGAAGTCGTGGGAGGATATGTGTGTCGTTTATGCCTCATGGGAATCAGTGGAGCCTTGTAGGATTGGGTTCCATCGGTGTAGGATAGAGAGATGGGCCTTTGCGGGAAGTCCTCCACCACCAACTCAAATCCAAAAACACTTGAGTTGGCGATGGCATTGCGGTAATGTAAGGAGCAGGAACCCTAACAATGTAAACATTCAGACATTTAGTGAGGCACAGGATCAGTCAGGTATTGGAAAATGTATAAGGACATTGATTTTTAATTTACAGACCTGATCCAAGACAAAGCCTGAAGGTTGGTTACATCCGCTGCACTCTACATTTCTGATATTTCCATATCTGCAGCGAACTGTGTCTCCATCAGGGTCGAAGGACATCAGCTTGTAGGTCCGTGGGCAGTTCTGGGGAACTCTTGAAAGGACACATTAACAAGAGTGAGGAACACTGTTCTGCCCATAAAACCCAAAAGGATCAAATAATCAGAGTTATAAATGCACATGTGAGGTAGTAGAGTAAGCACGGCCACAGTGGCTTCTTTTAGGGTGGCCCCAAACACACCCTCAAAGAATTTATATTGATACTTATATGAACATTACACACCCATTTCAAAGAATAAACACAACGCGAGTTGACCTTTTTTTAATGAATATAATTTCATTCAAATGAATGGAAGCAGTAGACACAGTTATTAAATAGAGGCAATTGTAAAGCAATCATCTAACAACTATTTTGGGAAAGAGGTTTCAGCCGATGGTAAGGCAGAACTGTAAAGGTTAACACCCATTTTGTCACTTTACTTTGTGAGTGCAGAGCAGAAACTGTCTGCAGGACTTCACCTTCATGATACAGAGCGATTTAATCAAACAACAACATAAAGAATGAGCTTACCGTAGGAAAGGTAGAATGGCAATGTCTGGGGATCTGTTTGGTTTGCCAGTGTCAGATCTTGATCCCAAATCTACTTGAGTTTGAAATCTCCAACCTGAAACCCCGTTACGTGTTGGGATCCAACAACAGCTACTTGCCCTGATAGGTGTGCAAACAAATACTGCATTAATAAACAGATGCTTGTTTTTATTTATTATTTTATGATAAGCATCAAAACAACAAATACAAGTGTTTGCAATGCAATTATGGAGACTCATATAACATTAGCATGATTTGAGTCAGAGAAAAAGCTCACCTCATCTCAAAAGGTTTGTCAGTTGGGACTTTTCTTTGTTGAACTGTTTCTGTTTCACACCATTCTCTGTTTCTTTGCGGTGCATTGGTGCTCCTGTCAGTTATGCCTCTCTGTTGATTAGTGAGTAAGCCACAGTTGCCAGTGCTACATGTCTGGTAATGGGAGTACTGACACCCATCATAGGTCGCCCTGTCGCGAAAGTCCACCTTTGAAACAAATTAAAATAATATTAATGCATATTTTTATCGCTATTTCCAATGTATTTTGTGCTTTGACATATACTGTACCAATCAAGGTAAAAAGCTAGACAACACAGTTAAAAGAAAACATTGAGGTAAACTATATTTAATGTATGGCAACAACTTTAACAGAACTGAGTTTAAAAATAACAACGTCATAAAAATGAATAAATTAGTTAATTATTAACTGATGCAAAGGTTTCAAAGTAGTTTCTCTCACCCTAAATGATCCATCAGGGTTTCTTCCTTTGTAGCTATAGGTCACGGTTCCCCCGTAGTGATGTGATGCAGACGCCAGTGAGACCAGCTGAAGCAGGAGCAGCAGAGCGGTGGCCATCTTTTCCTGAATTCACCTCTGTCTCCAAGTATCTGCTGCTCACATCCACCTGCAGCATCCTTTTATACACACCTGGCCATGGTTCCTCCTGCCAAGTTATCACCTTCATCTATTGAATCAGCTGCATAACTGGTTCCACAACATTTCAATGTAAATGCTTTAAATTGTAACGTTACCCATAACCCAGAGTGACTGAGTTCAGATCTGTCTTCCCGTAAGTGTGAGCCCCTCAGTGCACTTGACACATGCTTGATTGTCACATTATTGTCACATGTTAAGTTCTTGGAAACCGATCATGCGAGAGCGAAGACAATGCAGCTCTGGTCTGATGTTGATCTGCAGGTGAGAGATTTACATTTAAACAATGAAATATTTTAACTCAAGCTTCACTTATAGTCAAGTCAAAGTCAACTTTAATGTCAATCTTTCAGTGAATCCCAAATTCAAAAATACATGTATACAATATACTGCAGTCAGGCACTGAAAAAGAGATATTTAGGATCTGTATCAACGGCTGCAGGTTTGCAGATGTATCACAGGTATTTCTTGGGTGGGTTTTCCCTTTCCTGTAGTGTGTTCTATAGGTTTTTGTGCATGTGAATGATCTGAAAAGGTTACTCCCTGTATTTTATAGCACATTTCAACAATTTGAAATGCAGTTCTAATTATTTTTACAACAAAAAAACTATAACATGAAGTGACATTTAGATACATCTAAAAAAAAGTCATTTTAAATGAATAATAATGAATTATAATAGCAAGATAAAATACATTTACAATAATTTGAGTAAATATACACAGTCATTTAAATCATTGTAATACAATCATGTGACGTGTGTAGCAGTCACATGCATGTCACAGCGGTAGGAGAAGGGCATTGAAACAACTTTTGTCAAAGTCTTTATTCGCACCCCAAGAGAGGCATCTTCTTCAGGAAAAAAACACAAGACTGGAGACAGAAGAACGAGGAAGGGAGAGAAAAAGCTTTAAATGTTTTGCCCTCGTACATTTTGACTTTGATTTCTTCTTTGTGTGACAGGCGGGTATGTCCCAGAAGCATTTCAATAAAACATAAATGAAAACCAGTCTTCAGAAACAACAACGGTGGCTTTCACAGTGTGCGACTGATTCACTTGACATCAGAAAAAACAAATCTGTGGTTGACTGAACGGTTCCATTTTTAAAACTGTTGAATTGATCATCCTTGAGTTTCTTTCAACCAAGAACTTAGAGAAACAACCTGCTCTATTCGGCTCATATGATCTGCACCCGATGTAGCTACTTGTACTTGCAATTGCACACTGACTTTTATATATATTTATATATATATAAAAATAACAATACATATGTAAAAAAAAGCTAACCCTATTCTATATATGGCTGATATTTTATAATACGCACTGAAAACTTGAACACTGAAACGTTGTCTTAAATTAAATGTATTATGTCAACAGATTTCACATAATTGTATTAGGTTAGATCAGGGATGGGCAACTTGGATAGTGGTGGGGGCCACATCATTTATGTACTGGCCACCAGGGGGCCGCAGATTCACTTGGAACACACACACACACACACACACACACAAATTCCATGTATTGTATGTAATTATTAACAAATATACTAAGTCTGACATCTTCATTGATATTTTATAATCTTTCAGGGAACATCCTCTAATAAGCTCAATAAACAAATATCAGTTCACAGAAATGTTATTTAATTTTTACAATTTCAAATAAACAAAGTCCTGGTTTTTAGAATATTAAACTTGTTTCGCCAAATTCAGATGATAAATACAACCTTTAAGCTTGTAAAGGCATAATTACAAGCGGCAACTTGACGTCACAGCAGGCCTAACAACAGCCGGTGTTTCTTGTGAGGGTTTCCCCGGAAAACAAACACAATACACACAAACGCAGATTATTTTGCGGTATTTGGCTGCCGAACGAAATCATGTACGCAGCTCGTGACGTAACTAGGAGTGTAGTGGACGGTATCAGTACTACAAGTGAAGAAATACATTTATTTTTATATTTATAATATTAATTACGTTATTTATAAATTAATATAAAGGGTGTGGTGACCACCTTTAATACACTGGGTTACATAATCCACACATGGAACTAGAGTTGGGGGTATTGTTTCCACACGGACATATATGTGGTTACCTTTATATGTTGTGTGCCCTCCTGGCTCTTTCTCTTGTTGTCCCGGGCTGCGACCCGACAACACCTGCATTTCTGCTGCTCATTAAAGACAGTTTTGCACCTTCGATGCACCGCCTCCGACTCCCTTTCTCTCGGCACTACACTGGTGACCCTGACAGCGTCTTGGGAAGTTTCCGAGACGGACCCGAACACGGCAAAGGAAACTCAGGTTTCTTTCTCGAAATGCCGGGGATTTTTTGGTGTCGACCGTGGCTGCTACAGGCACGCGGACTGAGGCTCGGTGCGCGCCTCGCCGAATGGCTGGGGATGTTGCTCGCCATTCCCGCAGCTGCCTTCCGACTACAGAGGGGACGATGCACGGGTAGGGTAGGGATAATAATAATAATAATAATCCTTATATTTATTATAGCGCTTTATCAATGACTCTCAAAGCGCTTTACAAATACACATTACACATACAGATCATACATGTAATGGTCATCTACTGTGGACAATACCCACAGGAGCAAACCCGATTGCTGCCTCGTGGGGTTTCTTCGGGGCGTGCGGCTGCATGTCCCAGCTGTGCTAGCTAACGACAACTAGCATCTAACCACGTTGGCTAACTACGGCTAGCAGCTACCGATGGCTGCCAGCTAACGGCAACAGCTAACGGCGATCGACCCTTTTGAGTTTTTGTTTTCTTTCTGGTGCCGGAGAGGAGGTTCGACCAGCCGGTTGACCTCGTGTGGACACTCACTTTTTCACCACCTCAACGGCGGTTCCAGGCGCCACTCAAGTTTCCTTCGGCGCCTGGGTGGTGCACTCCTGGACCCCGTCTTGCCTCGACAGTTTCGGACGTCACCCATGCCTTCGTCGGCCCGTGGGTGGCGCGCTTCGGGACCCTGTCTGGCCTCTTCCTTCGCCTTGGCGGTTTCGGACGTCGCCCATGCCTTCATCGGCCCGTGGGTGGCGCGCTCCGGGACCCTGCCTGGCCTCTCCTCTTACCGCGGCTCACGGTTCGCCTCAACGGCAGCTTCGGACGCCCCCCCCGTCCATCCCCTGTCCACGGCTCTTTCCTCCCGGGAGTGCTGCTCCTGCCCCCCGGCTCTTTCCTCCCGAGGACTTCGTGCCCGCCGCCGCTGTGCCCTCGCCTGCGGCTGGGCAGCGCTCCTTCCTGCTGGGGACCACCGGGTTATTCACGCCCGTTGCGGCTCAGCGACCCGGTTTTCACCGACTGGCGGGTGATGACTTCATTCGCCACGACGCCTACTGCGGACCCCTTACGACGTCCCGTTCCGGCCCGCCCCCGGTAGAGATGCCCTCGCCCTCGTTGGGGCCCCTACCCTCTCCTGTGGCCGCCTTCCGACGGCCCGTTCCATGGTCCGGCCCTCACCTGCAACCTCACCCTCCTCGGCCCCTGTGGTGCTTCCTCCCGGACGCGGGGATTTTTTTGCCATGTTTGGATTCTGGGGGGGCTTGTGTGGTGACCACCTTTAATACACTGGGTTACATAATCCACACATGGAACTAGAGTTGGGGGTATTGTTTCCTCACGGATATATATGTGGTTACCTTTATATGTTGTGTGCCCTCCTGGCTCTTTCTCTTGTTGTACCGGGCTGCGACCCGACAACACCTGCATTTCTGCTGCTCATTAAAGACAGTTTTGCACCTTCGATGCACCGCCTCCGACTCCCTTTCTCTCGGCACTACAAGGGCCACAAAAAGAGGAGGTGGCCCCCGGGCCGCCATTTGCCCATCCCTGGGTTAGATCAAAGCATTAATATGAAGTTTAAATTTGTTCAACTTTATTGTATTACTTGCTTTCAACTAACCTAATACAGCTGTGTGAAATCTGTTGACATAATACATTTCATTAAAGTCAATGTTTCCGTTTTTTCAGTGTAATCAGGATGTGGCGGTAGTATAGAGAATCACTTGACTTTAGCTTGATCTGCATCTTACATTCTCCTCTACTAGGAAATAAAGGAAATTGCTTTTACATGTTAACATATGACTCTATGTAAAAAGCATGAAATATAAATAGTTTAGCCTGCCTTCTTCTGTGTTTCTTGTGATAGCAAAGTTTCAATGAAGATTCATCTGTTCAGTCTGTGTCATCCACTGTGTGAGAATATACAGAGGTTCAAAATGATTTATACCCCATGATCAGAATACAATCAAATCCAATGCTAACATTGCATTGCACTACATTAGGAGAAACGCTGCAGTTTAAAAAACGATGCATGTATACAGTCACAAATGTGCCAAAACACATGCAAATGATGAAACATCTCCACCAACTTGACTACAGACGTGCGGCATTTAGAATACATTCTACAAGCGCTGCACAAACGATATTCTGCAAGATGCTCAAAACACAACAGAAGCCAGTAGATGATAAAAAAAGACGCACTCAACTGGGACCAGAGCGCTTGTTCAGGGATTATAAAGTTGGAAAACAATAACTGTCGTTTTATTTTTTTTATGTAGGCGGGCTTATTTTAACAATGTGTCCGCATGACTCATTCTGATATTAATGCAGATCTGCTGTAAGCTAGCTAGCTAACGTAGCTAACCTAGTCATTCCAGATATACTGACGAACACTTACAGTTATGAGACAAACTCACTCTGCAACAGAGACAGTTGTTCAGCTTTATAATCCTGAACGTCACCAAGCTGTCCCAGCTGTGTGCGTCACTCATTAGTGTCCCCTGGTCTCCCAGCTGTGTGTGTCACTTTTTTGTGTCCCCTGGTCTCCCAGCTGTGTGCGTCACTCTTTAGTGTCCCCTGGTCTCCCAGCTGTGTGCGTCACTTTTTAGTGTCCCCTGGTCTCCCAGCTGTGTGCGTCACTCTTTAGTGTCCCCTGGTCTCCCAGGTGTGTGCGTCACTGTTTAGTGTCCCCTGGTCTCCCAGGTGTGTGCGTCACTCTTTCGTGT